GGAGGCGATGATAACATATGGCGTATTTATTTTTATTATATCGCTCTCTTGTGCAAAATTCATATAATGGCAACGGTCGCTAAAAGCCACGTTAACCGCGAAGTACGTAATCGTACCACGTGTTACACACCACGTGCCATCTCCTGTCTTTCACCGACAGCCGATACGATTTCGGACAACGCAGTTAACGCATAATTCGTCTCCGCCTGGGCTACCAATTGTGAAACATGGCGAACATGTGTCTCGCGATCATTGAGGCGGATAATAATTTGAAAATATGTCGTCCCTTTCGTCTCTCACCCTGTCGCCGTTATTATCGCAAAACGACTCGCCAGCTCGGGTGCATTAGTGTCACACGGCCGTGTAACCGCAAAAGCAACGAACAGACCCAACTACCATTATAAATGCATTAACTCTCCCCTCAGCTTCGCCCTCTTCTTCTTACCAACGTGCCAGTTTTTCGCCTCTGGTTGTACAGCTGGACGTCTCTGACGTTTCTGTTCTAAAAGTCTTGTTTATCATCTATCGATTTGTATGTCGTTGAAATTTTGGTTAAAATAATTTATATTTCGACAATTTATATTTTGATATCTATATCTTGTAAAATATCTTTGATAATTTATATCTTGAAAACCTAAATCTTACAGACTGAAAGAGTTAAGTTACTAAAGTTTTAGCTGGACCTAGATTTAAATTCTTACAAGTTTTGGTTATCAAAGATACTAATGACTTGAAAGTATGAAACTAATGAGTACTAATGAGTAGAAAATATGAGACTTGAAGTGTTAGTAAAAAGATTAGATTACTTGTGCGTGCTACGCCCTTGATATGATTTTTTTTAATCGTTGAGAATTTCGATAAGATTCGGATAAGATTTAAAAAAGACAATAAGGAATATGAAACAAGAAGGAAGATTTTAAAGATAGCAATGCGTAAGCACCGACAAGAATATAAATTTGTATTTGATAGAATAAAATGAGGCTTCGCAAGCCTATAACACGATAGTAATTTTCGAGTCGATTGGACGTTGGTGACACACTGACGTGCTGAACACCTCCTGTCGTGCGAAGGGTGTCGCGTAAGTCACCCTAAGATTTCTAAGCAACACGTCACTTTGACACTCGACAACGGGGACGAGGACGGCGACGGCATCGCTCCGGCAGCGGTGCGATCGATTCTCAGCAGTCTCTCGTCGGAAGGAAGGAAGGAAGGAAGGACGGGGATTTTTTTTACCCCGTCCACCCGGAGAGCTGCACGATCATTAGGATGGAAGCGCGATGGAAGCGATCGTTACACTTTCTTCGCCGCTCTTCAACCCTGCTCTCGTTCTCCTTTCGTTTTATTCGAGCGAGATCAAGCAGCCCCTCGAGCACCTTCGAAGCGATAAATCAATGACTCTTCTCTCTCTTTCTCTTCTTCCTTCCCGTCTCTCCCTGCCGAGCCCACCCCACCGCCCGCCCGTTACTTCCGACCCCCTAACTCCTAGCCGACGACTATAAAAAGCCAACGGGCAATTAAGGGTGTTTTAGAGTGGCTGCACTCGAAAATCACCGGCCAACCCCGGTCGAAAGTGGGGGAATTAAAAAACATTACTCATCATATAATCGCACGAGCGGTTCTCGGCGCTGTCTGTCACCGTCACTCTCCCTCGTTCTCCTTCCCTCTCGTTCTCCGGGACGCTCGGACACGCTCGTCCTTCTTTCGCCTCCGACGTGCCGGCAGAAAAATGAGAAATGATCGTGGCTCGATTCAGAGGTGCCTGTTTAAAATTCATGAACGATTTTACTGCGACCTCCCCTATCGCGGCCCGTTACAAAAGGGCGAGCAGGGCCATATCGAGAGAGAAGAGAAGAGGGAGGAAAAAAGAGAGAGAGAGAGCGAGAGAGAGAAATTGTGGCCCACATTCTCGACTATACATCAGCACAAAATCGCGAGAGAATAAGAGAGAAAGAGAGAGAGAGGGAGGAAAGAGAGGGGGTCGACTCGCGCACCCCACGAAATATATTAATTGTCGAATTTTCCGTGCGAGCTGCATATCCGTTAGAGCCGCTTTGTGCCTTGCCAGGCGCGGATCTCTTGATTATTAATTACTACGACCACCAAGTGCATCCCTCTGCACCTACCGCCCTCCGCGGCTATTACCCTGTAACATTCGCGGCCGCGTTTCGAAGGTATAACCTCATTCTTTTTTTTTATTGCAGTCGCGGTTTTAGCCGAAAAAGTATAACAAATGTACGCGCCAGCGGTGCTCGTTAATTATCGCCCGAATTTCGTTAACGCGCGCGCGAATCGCCGAATTTTTATCGAGATAAAGTCGCGAGGCCGTTTAATTTATCGCCGCGAATAAAAGCTGGAGGGACCCAAAAACGATACGTAATTCCTCGACGATGGTACTAGATTTATAGACTCTACACAATACCGATAAAATCACCGAGACAATTATCGATGACTCGTGCAGATTATTGGTAATGCCGTTTTGTCGCGATTCTAAATTGGAGTTTTCCCTACAAACGGTCACGTTATTAACACATTAATTAATTCCATATCGTCAGCTCTGCATCTCTTGATGCAAATCATGGAAATTAGACGCAACTGCGCACTTGGAGAACGCTCGCTTCACATAAATAGTCTTGTTTCATTCACGCACAGGTGATGTAAGCGCATTTGTATATCGTAATTATGGCTGAATTAGTCACGAGTTGGCCGGGTGGCGAGAGACGAGTGCGCCACATGCACATATATACACTATATATATTTCTTTTTTTTTCACAAAACGCGCGGCACTAACGGGGGTGGCAAAAAGTAGTCGCACTTATCGAGCAAGAACGTCGGATGTAATTCACGCCTCGCTACCACGGAAGGGGTTGTGATTTTCCAGATATTATTCATGAACGTTATGGCAAGTTGGCTCATGTAATATAATAGCCCTTCACAGTCATTTTCTCTTGGTGTACATTTTTCTCTGTCTTATCCGTCTGATTTCATATTAAGCCGCGGCGCATTTTAATATATTTCTCTGGCAAAGGGCGAATTTACCCCTTAATCGCGTGAGCACACGCCGCTCGCGTATCGTGTTTATCAAAAAGTTCATAACGCTTCCGATATTGTGAGGAAGGTTACGAGTATTCGGTAATTCGTGCCGGCAGAATCGTCGGTACTCCCTCAGTTTCTGCGTTCCCCTCGTTCCCTACGCTTTCGTTTCACGAATCTCGCCGACGAATCTCTCGATGATCTGAAAGACGCTTTTCAGCCGTGAAACTTGGCTAAAAGCGTCCTAAAAGCATCATTATTTTTCAAGTATTTTTCAAGCGTAACATAGTACCGCGTCCTTCTTTAGAAGTGTGTCCAGTTTTTTGCTGCAAACTCGAAATATGCATAAACGAATAAAACGTAATTTACAAGCGTAATTTCCGTACCCCTCCAATTTTTCCAGCGAATATAAATCCCGTTATTTCAATTGCGCGCCGACGCTTCCGATTCCTGTTTCTTTTATGAAATTCCACTTTGTATAAGCCAATATTTACAAAAAAATTCCCAATCGGTAACCTCGCAATCGCACTCAAAAGCAAACACTCCCCTTTCCGTACACACGCACACGTAATATCCTTCTTTTTCCACCCCATTTTTTTCGTGTCAGGCGTCATTCACCCTTTAGTGTACCGATTAAACGTAAGCGACCGACATAAGCGCCATTCAAAGATCTCATAGTTCGCATAGTCCTGCTAATTGCGAAGAGAGCAGCGTCTTTACGAGGAAACGTAACTCGCGTCTTGATTTTGCGGAAAGTATCGTGATTCTCGCAGTATAATTTGCGGCATTACGAGCAGTAACGTTCGGTTAATGCGACGGCCTTCGGCAGGGAATTTCGCCTCGTGTCTCTCCCTTCGTGTTCCATCGCGTTCGTTTCGCCCCCGTTACACGGTATCAACCCCCGACTACGGCCTGTTGATATATCTCTGTCTCGCGCGCGTCTAAGGGCGCTTTTACGTTCGCAGGTGCGGCACGACCATACGTATGGCTGTGTGTGTGTATATGTGTGTGTGGGCATGTGTGTGTGTGTGTATGTGTGTGTATGTGCCCGTGCGCGTGTGTGTACGCGCGTGTCTCATGTGTACGTGTACGTGTGTGCGTGCCATGATACGCGATGATTAGGCACTGAAACTCCACGGGCTATTTGTTAGTATAATAAGCTCCCGGTAGTGTGGCCAACGTAACCACTTGGCGGCACGCCACCCCGTTTTAGCGTAATTGTCCCAGATCGAGATTTACATACGTGAGGAAGGTAGAGAGGGGCACCCGCGAGGGCGGGCAGGGGCCGGTCCCAGGGAGAAATTGCAGAAAGCTCGTGATTGCTTCGGGTGGCCTCGAAAGCCCAGTCGATTCTTACCGCCGGCATACGCCGCGCTACGAACGAACACCCCGGAATACTTGGAACGGATCTTATCGTTCGCCGTTAGAATCTGGAAAACTACCGTGGAACTACGCTATACTCGCACGTACTTCCGGTGATCAAGCCCGTATCGCGATATCACGACTCGCACCGGCCCGCCGTTTGACATTGGTAGGTTCAGATTCATTTCGGCGATATTGCGCTTTGAAAATAACGAATCGACGTAAAAGTCCGTTCCTCAACGTCCGTCACGTGCAACTCGAGTAGATGTATGAAACTGTGTGTACGTCATCCAAGGATTTGCGACGAGTTGCGACGTTGAGCATTATTCATACGCGAACATCAGATTTAACGCGTCCATTCATCGTTACATTCAATCCAAGTAGGGCTTTTCATTATTTTTATATTATATGTAATAATTAATTCTCTATTAATATTCCCCCTTATCTCGTAACAGGATTTATGCTAAGAATTCGGACGTAACATGAGTCACACATTAGATTAAATTTGGACTTTGGCTTTGAGATCAAAGCCTTCGATTGTTTCATACGAATAAATCGCGTAAGCAGGCTCGCTGTTATTCACCTGCCCGCTCTATTTGTGCTTTCAGAACGAAATGGAAGCGACAGACGATCGTGGGTTTCGAGATCATGGCCGAGAACAACTTCGCCGTGGCAGCCTTCCAGCAGCTATACGGCAGCGGCGCGGCGACCATACCTGCGCATCCCGCTGCCGGGCGCTACTGGCAATATCCCGGCGCGCATACGTTACCTACGAACGGATTTTTTTATCAGCAGGCCTCGGCGGCGGCGACTTTGCAGAAACCGCTCCCCTATCGTCTGTATCCGCCCACGATGATCCTAGCGGGACCGAGCAATCCTTTGGGCTCTTTGACGGCGAGCTCCAGTCTATCCTCCCTCAGCAACTACTACAGAGACAGCCCGGAAATGGCCGACGGCCGGGACTCTTCGAGGAAGAGAGAGAGGAGCAAGAGTCCGGAGTCGAGGGACAGATCGCCGCCCAGAAAGTCGGCGAGGTTGTACCCGTTGCCGATGATGCAGGCGGGGCCCAGCAATCCTCTCGGCACCCTCACGGCGACCTCCAATCTCCCCAACATGAACAACTACTACAGGGACAGTCCGGAGCTGGTGGAGGGAAGGGAGAACATGGATAGGTCGAGGAAGCAGGAGAGGAGCAAGACTCCGGACTCCAGCGACAGATCACCCCTGAGGAAGGACGCGCGAGCCTATCCCTCGACGATGATCCAAGCGGGTCCCAGCAACCCTCTCGGTCCTCTCGCTACGGCCGGCTCGAATTTACAGAACTTGAATAACTACTACAGAGACAGCCCGGAGATGATGGACAGCAGGGAAGGTATGAACCGGGCGCGGCAACGGGAGAGGAGCCAGAGCCAGGACAGATCGCCTATGCAAAGAGAGGATAGTCCTCGGAGTATAAGGGCTGATAGCGACGAAGAGAGCATACACGATATCTAGGACATGGAGGTCTCTTGTGTCGCCAATGGCGTGTTTGAAGCGCCGCACTGTGACTATGAACAAGAAGAGGAAGAGGAGGAGGAGAAAGAGAAGGATAACAAGTACGTCGCGCGGCAAGATTAGGAAACGCAGCGATCTCCTCGTGACGACGATGCCGACGCGAATAAAGCGAGCGAACGAAGAAGAGTCGACGCGTTCTGGCGAATATTTCACTAGATCGAGAGAAGCGTGTGACTCCTCTTAAGAGGTCCTCGTGAATCGGGCAGCTACCCAAGTTTAAGAGATAGAGAGAGAGAGAAAGAAAGCAAGCCTGTGCACAACCATCGCGAAGCAACATCAAGACGAATTTAGCGCCAACGATCGTCGGACAATTCCAGACGAGATAACGAGATCGCTCAAATTTTAGCAGCTACTGCGCCAATAGTTTGCGGATAAGAATCAACGGCGACTCCGGACGTAAATAACCGAATCGATCGCGGAGGATTCGTAGATCGATTGATAACGCGAGCACTTATGTAATCCTGGAAGGACAAGTTGTCCTTGGGAACTATGCAGTTCGGGCGGTCCGAGTCGCGCAGCTACTGCGAATGCAATCGAGAAAGCGAGTGCAGCCGATGCAATGAGACTGTGTTTGACAAGTTATACGCCCAGATCTACATATATGTATATACATAAGCAGCGAGAAGCAGTACCGCACACACGTAGAAATTGTTGGACGTTATCGCGGCCATTTTTCGGTCCGGCGGGGAAGCTGAGGCAGCTTCAGAAGCCGAGGGTGATCGAGAGAAAAGAGAGTGACTTGAGCTCGCGACAGTCGAAGAAAGCGAGTCGACGGAATCAGATGCGCGAACGGAACGCACACGGCGGCCGATTTCGTGAGGTAGAACAGGAAGTGACATAGCACGGGACGTCCGGGATTTTGTAGATAATGAGAGCGAGCAGGAAATATCGTGCGGTTAACCGAACTTTGTGATTTGAGCGCCCAGTGAATGGCGGCTCGCCGCGAAACAGTATATTCAGCCTCGATGCAAGCCCCAACGCGTAGAACGAAACTGACGAAAATAAAACTAAACTGCGCGCTCTCCCCGAAACGGTTGTCCCCTCGGGCAAAATGGAAAGACTCGTTGCTACTCATACGTCGTTCGTGTTCGTTATTTCATTTCCACTCTTCCGTGCAGAACGCGACGATCGGCCGGTCGTTCGGAGGGAGCACTTATTTCCCGATACTCTTAGGCAACTTATGGAGCGAATTTTATTTACGTTTACGTGTTTCACTTCGAGCGCAATTGCCGCGCTGATTGTACTGTGATAATTTTTATTTAACGACCGCGCGTGTGGAGCTGTTGTTGCTTAATTTTATCGCGATTTTTTCCTTTTTCTCACATTTAATGAGTCACGTACACTCGGAGCGCACGTTTCCATCGATTATTGAGGGTTTCTTTGTAGAATGTCGCGGACTGTCGCCCCGGTGTCTAAGTACGAACAATGTAGCGCGAGCGGCGTATCGCGACGACTATTTGCCAAAATTCGCACCGCGCGCGCGATTCCTTTAATCTCACAATTTTCAACAAAACACCCGCCCCGTCCCGTTCCCCCCGACGCCGGGAATTAAAAGGATTCATTCATCTGCGAAGAAACCAATCAATATTCATGACCGAAACGAAATTCAGCTTTCCCAATTTACCGACGTACAGTCAATCCGGCACTGTTATATCGCCGCGCAGATTAACCCGATCCGTTTTTTGTGGCGAGCACACTACGAGGAACCATACAGCGGTCGGAGGACCGTGGACGCTTTCGTGCGTCCGGGACGGTTACGAGTCGCGCCAGGAAACGAGCCAATCGCGGGCGAACGCGAATCTACAATTAATATGACATTAGAGGGGACCTGGCCGCGGGGGAAGAAATCTAAAATGACACGAAATTACACGCGATTGCCGCGAACGACAAAAAAGAATGGGGCAAGAGGGGGCGGCATCGGGGCACCGAACGAGCCAACGAGGGGGAGGGGGGGCGCCCTGACTATTCAAATAACCGGCGTTCTCGTGGCGGCAAAGCGAAACCGGCACTTTGCCCGCCGTTCATCCTCGACAACGAACGAACCAACCAACCAACGAACGGACGAACGAAACGGCCGGCTAATTAATATCGACGAGACGACGAGATGTAAAGCGACGCGACGGCCCCGAAAATTGCACGACGCCGACGACCAGCCGATAATTTGCGAACGACAACAACAACGCGGCCCGGGCTAACAGCGTGTCCTGGGAGGAAAGTCATGCGTGCGACGCTTCGGGAGATGGTCAATGTGAGTAAGAGCCACAAGTAACGAAAGATTTTAAGAAAACATGACACAAACGCGCAGGACGATCCTCTCTCTTTCTCTTTCTCTCCTTCTCTCTCTTTCTCGTGTTCCGTCGGCGTGAAGCGGTCCTGCCAGTCGTTACGGCGATACGCGGTTCACACGATAAACGACGATGACGGTGCGACGTTTTGCGTCAAACGACGATGATTACACGTTCGTCCGCGAAACAATTGCGCGGAACGGTCCTCTTAGGGCACGGAATCCTACTCTGGAAATTGCCGGTATTGTGCGCGAAGTGAGTGCTCGCGGATATGAGGAACGCGCGTGAATTTTCAAACGCGAACGAGTAATGAGTTTAAATCGCGACGATTAAACGTTTGATTGCACGAGCGAGCCATCGTGTCTCGCGTTCCTATCTCCTCGTTTGCGAGGATACACGGATGCTTGCGTTAAAGACTTCGCTTTCCAAGATTACGTGCAAAATTTCCTCAAGCAACTCGGTGTGTTTTGCATTATCTTACGGTGAGACTGAAACGCGAGCGATACGAATGGAGAACGCGGTATTTTTGCAAAGGAAAGCATGGACCAGTGGCCCTAGGAGGTCCAGAGATGATGAAGTCGCTTTCTCACTAGCAGGAAAATCTAATGTCATGCGAAGATGAACGTTTGCGCGCATGCAATTCGCAAAGCGGCGAGTCTCCCGGTTCGAGGCGTGATTTCGCGACTTTGAACGCGCAGAGGCGAGCATTCTTCTTGTAAATATAGCAACTAATGCGCGAATTCACGCGCTCAAGAGTAAGCACGAAGCTGTAAATATATGTACGACGAGTCGCGAGCGTGAATTAAACGCGGGCGGGAAAGAGGGAGTCCGTGAAGGACTCTTGGACTTTTAGGCCAAGATGCGATATACGAGATATTTCAAAGTATTTTTCAGATTTCGAATATACGTAGCGCGAAACGCGTTCTCTCGAGAGGTCGGGAAAAATCGGACAGTCCTTTTCCGCGTCGCGCTGTCGTTCCGTGCGTTTTGTTTCTCGCTGACGGTGGAGAGCGCGGCGTCTCGATGTTTCGGGCACACGACGCGTTCGACAAGGAAGAACATACCAGTATTATGAATGTATAAAATTAGGCCGTGCGACGTGCGAATACGCGCCGTACGGAAGCGCGATGCGTCGTGCAAAATTCCGGCCGGCGACGAGATCGCCTCGTACGACGCGTCTAATGATTAAGTATCGCAGCAAACACACGCAGACACACATCCACAACACATACCCCGACATAGTACACAACAAGTACTTAGTATATAAACCATGCTTTGTAAAATAATGTCTGTATAGCGAGAATTATTATATGGAAAATATATTATACTAAATTTAACCTGCTCTGTGTTTTTCTCTCGGCACCGAAATTCGATTCGCATCTCTTCTGACGATTGTCTTGCGATTTCAGATCGATTCGCCGCGCAAGGTAAAGTAAAAACCAATGCCTGAACACGTGTTTAAACTTCTAACATGGAGGATATATATATGTTTAGTATATACACGTATTCTATAGAAAATTTATATATCCGCACTCGAAAGAGCAATAAAAATGTTCAGGATTAACTAGGAGTCCAGTAATTGGTGTTTTTATGTGAAATTCTTTTTCTATTCGTTAGCATGAAAATTAGAGCACGTTATTTTGTACAAACGTGCCTTTAGATTTTTCGCGACTGCTTTGAAAAGAAATCAAAGTTGCACCTCGCCGTTCTAAATTTCTTCATCTCAGATTTCTGAGAAAGCGATGCAATGCGGTATTATTTACGGGGTATTTTTACTGAGTGATTCATTCACGAGGGAGTAATAGAATGCGTTCGGGCAAATTCACGCGAGAGGAGATACAAGGTGATCTGTTAGTAACGTTTCTACTGTCAAAGCCGAAATTGCATCGGTCACGGAATCGCCGAGCCTCTTCGTTTAACGATCGATTTGCAAGCACCTGCATAATGCAAGACGATCAGATTGGCGTTTAGACGAACCGCCCGAGACTCGCGGGAAATTTTCACGCGATGATGCATATTGCAGGGCTCGCGATTAAGTGAACGCACGTATTCGGGATACATGGCCGACGGCGCTCGATGCGCTCGGCACGACGAGCGTAAAACTCCACGTGCCGAATTACTTTCGTGCAAACTCCCGCTCTACTCGACGAGCTTGGAGATTTGGAGAAATAAAGATTACGTACTCTCCTCAGACAAATTGAGTGAATTGTATTTGTAACTCGTGCAAGTCGGGTGTTTCTCGTTTACTCTTTCTCACTTCTCTCGGGTGTAATTAAGATTCTTCCTGAATTAAACATCGAGCACGATTATATTCCGATTCGTTTTTGCTCCGCAAAACTCAACGTTTGTATTCCCTTGCAGCCGAGTTGATCTATCAACACGATCAATTAGGGGGAGCCGATGCCTTCGCGCGCTCACTTGTGCCGATCCGGCGATAACGACACTCGAAAGAGTCATTACACGAAACATTTCTTAATAACAGTTAATTCTGTTAATGACATGATGATGTTTTTGCGCTACGAAGTGGAAACTCCGAAGCAATTAAAGCTTTACTTTCTACAGCGTTACGTGTATCTGTGGGCCGGGCCTCGCCCGTGAGTTTCGCGTTCGTATCGTTTTACCACATCGTTATCCTTGCCTCACAATCTTCCCTGAATGTCAGGAAAGAGGGAGAAAGAGGAAGAGGAGGGAACTTATATGCATAATCAAATTAAATCTAAAACTTGTACGATAACGAGTATACATATAAAGTTGCAAGTTATAATAGCGCCACACGAGCCGCATGTTGCAAGTGCAACGCGTAACGTACGTAGGGCCCCGGTTTTTCCTTAATTATTTCCCACAATGCGGGTAATATCTCACATGTGGAAAAACACATCACTGGAAGGCGACTCATTATCACCATACATCGTTATCTCGCTCTCATGCGGTTACACGCAAGTCTCCCTCCGGATTTGATCTCGGTGAGCGCGCGCTCCGGAAGAAAAGAGAAGAAAAGGCAATGAAAAGAGCGCAAGGAGCGCGTTGTCGGTTTCGAGGATTTTCGGCGACAAATTTCACGGAAGAACGAGGACGTGTGATACGACCGGAGAGTCGTCATTAAGCGCGGTCCCCTCGCCCCCCATTAGAGAAGAAATTTCGGCGCGGTTCGGCGACGTGTAATTTGGTGAGACCCTCGCCGCGACGACGTCGAAGGCGAAACCCGGCGAGCGTGACAGTGTGCACGGGGCTTAATTCGCGTTTGCTTATTTCCGCCGTCGGCCAGTTGCAATTATGTGGCAGCGAGCTCGCGCGCGCTCTCTCGCCTCCCTGCATATAAGGGCTTATTTTATTCCTATTAGGGTAAAACGGGTAGCCCCGGACGGACGCGACGCACACTACCGTGTACCCACAATTACGTGAAATTAATTTGGGCCCCATTAGCGGTCGGCCGCGCCGCTGCCGGGGCACTAACGATTTTCCCCAGCGGCGGACACGGTCGAACGAGACGGCGGCGGGCTCTCGTGCCGCAACTACATTCGAGTAATACGTACGCGCCACATATCGCCGCTACGACAATGTTTCCTCTCGCGCGGAACGTGGGACGTGCGTGAAAAGAAGCTATGGAAATTCTTAATCGCGCATCGTTAAGTCACGATTTCCACCGCGATACTCCAGCTATTGCTGGCCGCGCGCGCGCGACTCGTCGCCGCAATCACGGCGCCGCGGCAGGTCGGCGGCCTGTGTGCAATTATTTCCTTTAGGAGACTATAAATCGTACCTAACGGACTATAAATTGTACTTGTTGCTTTTTCACTAATGTAAATTCACGCGGAGAAAAAAAGGAAGTATCTTGATGGCTATTCTCGAGTTTCTTTTCACCTCGGATCACGAACCGCGGCGTGTTTTCCATAGCGTCGTTGAGCAGCCAGCTCGCGGCAATTAAAACGGAGAAGGCAATTGCGATTTGGCGAGTGTAGCTTTTGTAATTTACCATGGGAGAGAGAGAGAGAGAGAGAGGAATTGGCTGACTTACGCCGCAAAGGTTCAAGTCACGTGGCGCGGCGCATCACCTCTGAATAGCCGACCTCTGCCACGCGGAGATCCTTCAACATTTCAGGACGATTCTCGCGTTTTTGCATCGTGGTATAGAGTACATCGTGCGACAAACAGGGGGCCAGCGAAAAAAAATCCTAACTGACGTACGGTCGCGGTGGAAAACGCGGTAATGATAGTGATTATGTTATTTTATCTCGGGAACTTTGCTTGAAACTGTCGCGTTTAACGATGACACTAAGTGCAAGATTATAACAGTACTCTCTTGATACACACACGCGTCGTGAAAGGAGAAAGAGAGGACCCGAGGACGGCAGTCGACGCACTTTGTATAATTGCGGGTTGCAGTGACGAGCGGATGCGCTTATTAGCTGAAAGCGGTAGGAAATCACAGTTTTATTATTCTCCTTCTTTTCGCGAGAGTGTCCGTTAAGGTTCCACACGGATCGCTTCTCGAAGGTACGATGGAAACCGAAGAAGAAAGGAAGAAGGGCCCGGCGAGAGAGGATGTGGTTAACCCCACGGTCAAATCGAGCTTTTGCCGGGCTTCTGCATCCTGAAGCGCGGCGACAAAAGAGAGAATTGCCGGAACAAAAGTACGTGTC